ATACTAACTTTTTTTCCAACGCCCCATAAAGTAGCTTCTGCCTTCTACACTGCAAGTTAACGGCGTCCACATGGGTAAGTGAGAAAATACTTTTTTATTTTTTATTAAAAATTTAAATAAATTATTTAATTATATTATACTACCATTCATCTTTAATATAAGACCTTATTTGACTTTTATTTTAGTCATAAATATAAGACCCTAATCTATTTTGTCTTTTATGTTTATCTATTTTTTCCAAGATAGTCCTTCTACTAATGATAGCTTTAGATAATAAAGTTTATTAGTAAAGATATTTTAGGAAAAACAACAATTATTCATCACAAATAATTAACTTAATTAAGTTTCTTAATCTTTCCAAATTAATCAACTGGGTCTTATAGTTATATTTATACATATCACAAGATTACATATTAGTTTATAAGTCAAGCAAATTAATTTAAAGAAAAAAGATAAATAAAAATATTTTAAATTAATTTATTTTATTTTTTAATCTTTCCAAATTAATTATATATATTTAAGTGAGAAAATGCTTTTACTTTTTTACCTGAGAGGGAATGCTTTTAGCCTTTTAATATAAGATTTCAACAGACTAATTTGAAGAAATTAAATAATTTAAATAAATTATTTAATCATATGATTTGTTACATGATCTCTTCAAAATATTTATGTGTATCATGAGATAACATATTTGTTTATAAGTCAAACAAATTAATTTAGAAAAAAATAAATATAAATATTGTAAAGTAATTTATTCAATTTTTTTAATCTTTCCAAATTAATTATATATATTTAATTATCTACAACATATTTTCAAAATTTTCTCACTAACAAATATTTTTATTTTATAATTATAATTATAATTATTTTTTAACAACTATCATATTAATATCATATAATATAAAACACTACTATTTAATAGAGTTTATATTTTTTTTAATCATTTTACATCTAAACTCACTTTTCTATTAATCATCTAAACAAGTTTTTTTTAACCGACTTTTTATTAACGCCAATCCCAACATAACTCGTATTACATTAACTGATTTTTACTCTAATTTAAGTTTACAAAAGTCAATTGGAATAAAAATTAATTTTATAATCACTAATCCAAACACACCTCGAGCATCATAATGTAAAAGTTAAAGCAACTTCTAAAAATAATTTAGGTATAATTTTAATAAATTCTCAAGAAAAAAACATCATTACTAGAATATCTCAATGACAATTTAGAAGCGTGCAATGACAAGGTCTATAGTAGAAAATAATAACTGGTAGCTTGTCATTAAGATTTTTTGTAGTTATTTTCTTTCTTTAGGACCTTTATGTGATTCTCCCACTAATTTATGAAAAATTTCAACAAACCCCTTTTACTAGCCAATTAACATTAGTTAACCCTAAAAAATTCTTAAATTTTACTGAACTCTGAGATTCAAATTTTTCATGTGAGAAAACAAAAATACTCTTACTTTATTTGAGTTGCAAATCATCAAATTTGCGTTGCAAATTGCTGATTTTTTTTAAATAGCTGAATTTAAGTGGTAAATTCTTGTAATTTTCCAAGTAAATGAATAATTCAAATCTAAATTTATGACAAATATTTAATGATTTCCAAAAAAAATTTGATGATTTGCAACTCAAAACTGACGATTTATAACTCAAATAAAATAAAGGTATTTTTATATTTTTACACAAAAAATTTTGATTAATGAGGTGTAATGAAATTTTAAAATTTTTTAAGGGTTAGCTGATATTAATTAGGTAGGGCTTTTGTTGAAAGTTTCCATGATTTATTCTCCACCTCTCTCGCACCCTCACCCTTTTCCTGACCCAATAGAAGGCCTACCGGGGCATCTGGTCGCCTTGCAGATAACTCACCCATTTTGTATCAATGGGGTTGGTTCAAGTGGTAAGCTGCTTGGCACCGCTTAAGCGAGGTCTCGAGTTTGAGCTTCAACGTATGTAGAAATTCCCGTTGAGAGACTCACCCACCACAGCCAGGTACGTGATGTGGGTCGGATCCAAATGTAGTCGGAGTAAAGCTCCGATAAACTGGGTGAGCAATAAAAAAAAAAAAACTCACCCATTTTGCTTCGCACAGAACTCAACCGCAATGATGCAGCTACGCAAAGGTCAAGCTAGTGAGTCTCACATCTAGCAAAATGGATTACTTCGATTTCTTCAAGTCGCCACATATGATCTTCAAAGCTTTGAATTTGCTTTATTGGAACCGTTTTTCTCGTGATTTGGTTTTTGGGTTTTGTGCATAATGGGTCCTGCAGTTGTTAGGAGCTTCAAAGTTAAAACTTTGAAGTTGAATCGATGAATAATATTGGTTTGAAGTTTTTGTTTGAGTTTCTTAGTTTCTCCAACATCACTTGCTCATGCTCTTTTCTCTTTAAAACATAGGGTGGTCTTGTCCTCCTCCGCTTCAATGAATCTGTTGTTAGATATTTTATTATAATTATTATTTAGATATATATTAGGAAATTAATAAAATACTCTGAGTGTGGCCCTTTCAGTCAAACAAGGCCCAAGCCCAGTAGGGTTAAGCTTTTCAGTCTATATATGTGTTGATAACTCTCTGATGGTGAGATATACAACAATTGAGTTGACGGCTGAATATTCTGTGAGCGAATGAAATACCTATCTGCTCCTTTGAGGTTCCCTGACTGGTGACGGCTAATCCAGTTGCCATCACTGTGCCCTATTCCAGTCAGAAGAGACCTGAACAACTCTTTTCTTCTAACTGTTGTTCTCTTTTGCAGCTCTATTCTCCTATCTCAGATCCCGAGATAATTCAAGATAAGACAGATGGCAAGAGGTACACAAAGATTCTTCCGTTGTATTATTTTATGAGAAGATTCACATCTCTTTATTGTTTAATTTATTTGTATTGTGAATCTGTCTTACACGTGGTATCAGAGCCTGGTTTAATTATTCTCTGCCTCTTTATTTTCCTTATCTGGGATGATCTGAGCATAAAATGGAATACAATGCCTTGTCGTTGTGACTCACATCGGGTTCCATTAGCAGATCAGAGATAGTTATTTTATACTGCAAGTTATTCTAATTGAAAATTAAATCCAGTTCTATACGTTCTATATTTTTCACGTTTTCGGATGAATGGGACGCGAGGAGATGAATAATTGTTCCTCCAATGATCGCCGTCACTGACTCCATCACCATTTGGGGACCCGAATCATTGCGTTTTATGCTTTATTTGTTCAAAGGTTAAACTTTATCTACGTTTTGTTTCCTTTTGATTCGGTACATGTCGAAGAGTTGTGTTTTGGACAGTTGGGACGGAAAAGAAGAGAACACTCAACTCTTCGATGATCACCGTCGCCACCTCCGTCGAACCTTGGGGAACCAAAAACGCTGCTCTTTCATTCTTCCCTTTTATTTCGTTTTTTGGCCCCTTTTACCATTTAAATCTCGTTCCATGTTGTTTTTTGTGAATTGCGCCATTAGAAACAGAGAGAAACGATGTCTTTTGGCCGGAAAACGGCGCTTTTAACACCGGAAAATAGCCCAGAACCGCCGGAAACCATGGCTGGCGCCGGCGGCTGCGAAAGGGCCCCGAACCGGGTCGCAAGCGGGTCTGGAATCGGGTTAACCTAACCCGATTCCATGAGGAAGGAGACCCAGCACCAGAAACGCCGCCGTTTTGGGTTTGAGAATGCTTCTTTGTTTGGTTCTGAAAACGGCGTCGTTTCAGGCTTAAGTGAAACTCAGCGTTTCACTTACTCAGATTTTGGGCCGGCCATTTTGGGCCGCGTTTCGGGCTTTATAAAAAAAAAAAAAAATTGTTTGGACCGAATGGGATTTCTGGGTTTTGTAATCATATGTTTTTTATTTTCGAACTAGGCCGAGGATTTTTTTTTTTGTACAGAATTATTTTTTTCCTCTCTGTTTGCTATCTGGGCTGCACTGTGCGTCTTGGGCTTGCTGTTTTTGCACAGAAATCAATTTTTGGTCACTGTTTGGTTACTGGGCTTCTGTTTTGGGCCAGAACAATTATTTTGTTATTTGAATGTTCCTTTTGGGCCTATTTTGATTAAACTTTGTTTAGCCCATTTATTATTATTTTCCAGAATCAGTTCATGTTAAATAAATAATTAATTGCAAGTTATTTATTTATTTGAAAATAGTTTTCACATGTAATTTATTTTTATGCAAATATTTGAATTGTTTAAATAAAGATAAAAGTTAATCTTAGCTATTTCATATCCTTTGTAAATTTGCAAAATTGTTTGTTGAAAAATTGTTTATTTGCCTAAATTTTTGATACTAGATTTGGGCAATTTGGTTATTTACTTGAATTTTGCAATGTTCATTTTTAGAAAAAATATGCTGAGGTTAATATTTAAACAATTATTTGGATGCATAAAAATAGTGGGAGAATTTAGTTCAGTTATTTACTTGTTGATTAAATTAATTGCTTAAATTCTCCATCGAGATGTGCATATACTGGACTTAAATGCACTTGTATGATATTTGTGATTAGCATGCTTCTTTAAGGAGTAGCCACAGCATCCTTTATCTATTGCATGCGATATAAATCACATAATGGACTTATAAAATATCAATTGTAATTAAATATGCATTTATAATTCATCTTTGCCCACAGGTAGATAATTATCAATGTATATTTAATTAGGGTGGGATAGAATTGCCTTGTATTTTCTAAGTAGCCCACAGGTATTAGGAAATATAAATGCGTTCTAGTTCCATCAATATGAGATAAATACATGCTATGCTAATTTCTTTGCCCACAGGGAGAACTTAGTGATACGTATTTATATTTGTATGCTTTATTAATGTTTTAAGCATACATGGCACAGTTATTGTGAATTGTCTCTATTTATTTGGAAGTTTGACTGATTCTCTAATATTGCAGCTGCATTTACTGTCCCTAACATTGTTGCTGATGCTAGTAACAAAATTATACTTGATGGTACTAACTACCCTGATTGGAGGGAAGACATTGCTTTACATCTCGGTTGTCTGAACATGGACTATGTCCTGGAAACTGAAAGGCCTCCCAAACCAGCTGATGGCTCGACTGACAAAGAGGCCAAAGAGTATTATGAATCCTGGGAGAAAAACAATCGCCTTACTCTCCTGCTGATCAAAACAAGGATTGCTAGGAGCATTCGGGGAGCAATCCCTAAATGCGAAACTGCTAAAGAATACCTGGAAGCTGTGGACAAACAGTTCAAACCGACAGACAAGCAGATGGGGGGCACCATTATGTCGGAATTATGTGCCATGAGGCTTACAGGTATAGGCGGTACTAGGCAGCATATAATGAAGATGAGAGATTTATCCTCTCAGTTGAAATCCTTCGATATGGAGCCTACTGAGCAATTCCTGGTGCAGTTAATCCTGAACTCCCTTCCTCCTCAGTTTGATGCCTTTAAAGTATCTTACAACACACATAGGGAGAAATGGTCAGTTGATGAATTGCTGTCCATGTGTGTGCAAGAAGAAACTAGGCTGTTGATGAGTGGAAAGGGTGCACCTAAGGAAGCTCATCTGGGAGAAAGCTCCAATAGGGGTGGTAGTAAGAAGGGAAATAAGGATGACAAGAAGAAAAGAAAGAGAAGAATTCCCCCTGCCACCGCCTTAAATAAGAAGGATGCCAAATGCTTCTTCTGCAAGAAGAAGGGGCACATGAAGAATGAGTGCTCCAAGAGGAAGGCATGGCTTGAACGTAAAGGTATGTTTACTTCTCATGTTACCTTAGAATCTCATGCTATTAATGTTGATGATGACACTTGGTGGATTGATACTGGTTCAATGATCCACATTTCCACAACCATGCAGGGCTTCTTAACAAGCAGGCCACCACATCCGAGTGAGGAATGGGTTCTATCAGGCAGCAGGAACCCAGACCGTGTGGAGTTGGTTGGGACTTATCGCATTTTTTTGAATAATACTCATGTAGACCTTTTTGAGACTTTTTATATTCCGACATACATGAGGAACTTAATTTCCATTTCAAAATTAATTCCGTTGGACTATGGTTTATGTCTTGAGAAGGGCTCTATGTTTTTGAGCAGACATCATGTTAAGATTGCAGACGTTGCAATGATTGATAATTTATTTAAAATTATTCGTGATCCTGTTCAATCTTTTAATATTTCGCGTGGTATTAAACGAAGTGTCATCAATGAGAATTCTATTAGCTTGTGGCATAGGAGATTGGGACATATCTCCATTGATAGAATCAAAAGGTTAACTAAGGAGGAAATACTTCCACCCTTAGACCATTCAGAATTTGATTCTTGCGTGGACTGCATAAGGGGAAAGCAGACCACTAAGTCACAAAAGGGAGCTAAAAGAAGTTCTGAATTGCTTGAGATTATACATACCGATATTTGCTGCCCTGATTTAACCGCACACGGTCAAAAGTATTTTATCACCTTTATCGATGATTACTCGCGCTACACGTATATCTATTTGCTTTATAATAAGAGCGAGGCACTAGATGCCTTTAAGGAATATAAAGCAGAGGTAGAAAAACAAATTGGGAAACCAATTAAGATTGTAAGATCTGATAGAGGTGGTGAATACTATGGTAGGTACACCAATGAAGGACAAGCACCTGGTCCTTTTGCAGAATTTCTTCGAGAGCAAGGTATAGTTGCTCAATATACCATGCCTGGCTCACCAGACATGAATGGTGTAGCTGAAAGAAGAAATAGGACCTTGCTGGACATGGTTAGGAGCATGATGAGTGGCTCCAAACTTCCAATTTCTCTATGGAAAGAAGCACTCAAGACAGCTGTATACATTCTAAACAGGGTTCCAACAAAGGCAGTGCCTAAAACACCCTTTGAAATCTGGAAAGGTTGGAAACCCAGTTTGAATCATTTAAGGGTATGGGGCTGTCCTGCAGAAGTAAGAGTGTACAACCCACAGGAAAAGAAATTGGACCCTAAGACTATTAGGGCCTACTTTGTAGGCTATGCAGAAAAGTCCAAGGGTTATAAGTTTTACTGTCCGCCTCCTTCAAAACGATTTGTGGAATCTAGGAATGCTAAGTTTCTTGAGAATGATGTGATTAGTGGGAGTGATCAGATAGGAATTGATCACATAGAAGAGACCACTAGCACAAATGGTGAGGGAACATCAATTGTCAATGACTCTTCTTTTAGAGCTATCATACAACATGATGTGGATCCCATAACTCAAGTTGATGATGCTAGACATCAGGAACATATGCAAGCTGACCAACCTGTCACAGAAGTGGAACCACCACAGAATGTGATAGAGGATGTTCCTGATGAGCAACCTCAGCCAACTCAAGAAGTTGAATTGAGGAGATCAACTAGAGAGAGAAAGCCGGCATTGCCTAGTGACTACGTTGTGTACTTCACTGAAATTGACTGTGATGTTAATATTGAAAATGATCCTTTGACCTTTACTCAAGCCATGAAGAATGAGAATTGCAAGTTGTGGCATGATGCCATGGTCGATGAAATGAACTCTATGGCAAACAACCATGTATGGGAGCTTGTAGAGTTACCTAGTGGGTCTAAAGCCATTGGCTGTAAGTGGGTTTACAAAACCAAAAGAGACTCACGAGGTAACATTGATCGTTACAAAGCAAGGTTGGTTGCCAAGGGTTTTACGCAAGTGGAAGGAATCGACTACAGAGAAACATTTTCTCCTGTATCAAAGAAGGATTCATTCCGCATTATCATGGCATTAGTTGCACATTTTGATATGGAATTGCATCAAATGGATGTTAAAACTGCATTTCTCAATGGTGATCTTGACGAAGAGGTCTATATGAAGCAGCCTGAGGGATTCATTGCGAAAGGCAAAGAAAACTTGGTATGCAAGCTAACGAAATCAATATATGGTTTAAAGCAAGCCTCACGACAGTGGTACTTGAAGTTCCATGAGGTGATCACATCATTTGGTTTCGATGAGAACATCATGGATGAATGCATATACCACAAGGTTAGTGGGAGCAATATCATATTTTTGATTTTATATGTCGATGACATATTACTTGCAACCAATGATCTAGGACTATTGCACGAGGTGAAACAGTTCCTGTTTAAGAACTTTGATATGAAAGATATGGGTGAGGCATCTTATGTCATTGGCATTAAGATCCATAGGGATAGGACTCAAGGTCTTTTAGGCCTGTCTCAAGAAACCTATATAAACAAAGTTCTTGAACGATTCCGGATGAAGAACTGTTCAACCAACGTGACTCCTTTAGAGAAAGGAGACAAATTCAGTCTAGATCAGTGTCCTAAAACCGAGCTCAAGAAAAAGCAAATGGAAAGGATCCCATATGCCTCAGCAGTAGGAAGTTTAATGTATGCACAGGTTTGCACTAGACCTGATATAGCCTTTGCTGTGGGCATGCTGGGAAGGTACCAAAGTAATCCTGGTGAGGCGCATTGGACAGCTGCAAAGAAAGTGTTTAGATACCTACAAGGGACTAAACACTACATGCTTACATATAAGAGGACAGAGAATCTAGAAGTGACTGGTTACTCAGACTCTGATTTGGGAGGATGTTTGGACACAAATAAGTCTACGACTGGTTATATCTTCCTACTAGCAGAAGGAGCCATATCATGGAAGAGTACAAAACAAACTCTAACAGCTCCTTCTACTGGTGATGCTGAGTACATTGCGTGTTTTGAGGCAAGTTCACAAGCGATCTGGATAAAGAATTTCATTGCTGGGCTTAAGATTGTTGATTCGATCTCCAGGCCGATCAGAATGTACTGTGATAACACCGCTGCAGTGGCCATAGCCAACAACAAGAGGAATAAGAGTCGAAGTAAGTTTGTCGAACTGAAATTCCTATGCTTGAAAGAAAGGGTTATGGATGGCCAAATTTCGGTTGAATACATCGGTACAAAGGAAATGCTAGCTGATCCTTTGACTAAGGGTTGAAACCGAATGACTTTGTTTCACACGTACCTCACATGGGACTTCGTCCTCCAATTGATTAGTTGAGGTATGAGCAATGAAATTTATGGTTTGTCATCTCTTGTTATGATTGTATATACATTTGTGTTTGAGGTTGATAAACATAAAGTAGGAACCGAACAAAATTGAGTTTGTTCATAAAGGTATACCCATTAAGTAAGGATGCTGCCTGTGATGCATGGAAGATAATACCCGACTTGAGGGGACTTGTCGCCATGATTCTTGCAGTATAGCCTTAGCTTACTGAGGCACGGCAATTGACATACGTATAAGGGCCAAGTGGGAGAATGTTAGATATTTTATTATAATTATTATTTAGATATATATTAGGAAATTAATAAAATACTCTGAGTGTGGCCCTTTCAGTCAAACAAGGCCCAAGCCCAGTAGGGTTAAGCTTTTCAGTCTATATATGTGTTGATAACTCTCTGATGGTGAGATACAACAATTGAGTTGACGGCTGAATATTCTGTGAGCGAGTGAAATACCTATCTGCTCCTTTGAGGTTCCCTGACTGGTGACGGCTAATCCAGTTGCCATCACTGTGCCCTATTCCAGTCAGAAGAGACCTGAACAACTCTTTTCTTCTAACTGTTGTTCTCTTTTGCAGCTCTATTCTCCTATCTCAGATCCCGAGATAATTCAAGATAAGACAGATGGCAAGAGGTACACAAAGATTCTTCCGCTGTATTATTTTATGAGAAGATTCACATCTCTTTATTGTTTAATTTATTTGTATTGTGAATCTGTCTTACATCTGTGAGTCGAAATGAGAAAAAAGATGGGTTTTCTCTATTATGCCGTTTATGATGGTCCCATTTCTCCATTGGTGATCTTCTCTCTTATGTAGAAGAATCCAAGAGATGAAAACGAAGGAGTGAAAAAGAAGCAGCTAAAGCAGGGGACTGCGAAGAATTCAAAAGATTTGTGATAACATTAATGGTAGGATGAAAAGAAATGAATGTGAGGGAAGGGAGGCGGCAAAGGATTCGGGGAAGGGTCCCTGAGGCTGCGCATAAGGAAGGTTGAGAGAAGCGATCTTGCTAGTGTGAAGGGGGGTAGAAGAAATTATGTTCACATGTGACTTAATTTTTACACCTAAATAATGCTTAGATACACTTAGAAAAATCAGTACAGGATTTATTTGGAATTGCCTGTAAATAACATTTTAATCATAATTTATAAAACATAAGATAAATATATAAAAAGAATTTTGTTTGAGTTTATATAAAATATGTTTATAAACACTTAAATAAATAATAAATAATTCAGAGTCCATGGAGAGAGATTTAGGAATGAATATAATTGACGGCACACTAGACTCCGGTGCCTAGGTTTCTTTATATACACACAGCACAAGGCGAACGTTACAGAGCGATAAGAATCTGCTAACTACATGCTGTTAGCGAGATATTAGGATGGGAGATCAGGAGCGTTACAACTGCTTAATAATACAAATATAACAATATAATTATTAATATTCCTAACTATTCTCTAACACATGGGTGTCCACCACCTCAGTTTTATCAAACGGATTTCTTAACTCGTTAACATTTCAATTTTAAATATTACCTTTTATCTTTAATATAAAAACTCATTTGATTTTTATGTTGATTCTAAATATAAGATCTCAATCTATTTTATTTCTCATAATTATTTACTCCTCCGGTCCTTAATATAGGATTTAATTATTGAGTTGATTTTGATCCTAAATATTAAATATATTTCTCATATTTATCAATTTTTTCTAAATTATCCCTGTGGATACTCTTTCAACCATAATCAAGTAGAAGAATGACGGAGGATATTAAGAAAAATGATTAATGTTTTAGGAAAAATATGTCATGTTTATTATAATTAGCTAAGTTACCGAACTTCCTTAATTTAATCAAATTAGTTAAATAAGTCTTATATTAAGGACTGGGAGAGTATTTTTTTAAGATAATCCTTATAATAATGATAATCTTAGCTAATATACTTGATTAGCAAGAATATTTTAAAAAAATAATACTTATTTATTACAAATAACTAATTTTTTTAATAT